CACTGAACGTACAGACTCATCTGCAGCTACTTGCTGATGTGTTGCAGCACGTTACAGGGGCCCTGGTCCACCAACAATGAAGACCACTGCCCTCTTGATTAATGCCACAGTTTTGCCTGGGCAGCATGCTCAGGGTGCTGCAAGGCAGGTGATTGGAGCACAGGAAAGGGAAGGCATTTATTTAACACACTTATACCCAAGATGAAATAAGGATGCCACCCAAATTAAAGCTTCCTATTTATTCATTTATCAGATGTCATAACAGTAATGTTTTGGCTTATTTAAGTGGGTAAGCCACTGCAGTGGGTGCTATGCAAACTTACTAGCACTGGGAAATTATTCTACCTTGATGTACACATTGAGTACAGACAAGAAACATTTAGGGTATTTAACAGTGGCAGCTGGTCAAGATTAACCCTAAAATCGGTTGTGTACATTGTCATATCACATAGCTCATCTGACAAATCAGACCAAAGGAAGCCAGCATGGACCTGCCATACAGCTGCTCCAGTTTGGGACTGAGCAAACGCCCTGCTCAGCTGCTGAACAGACAAACAGCAGCGCCGCATAGGTGTGGGAGCAGCAATTCCAGCTCCGTGCTTTGTTCCAGGGGCTGGCCTAAGCTGCTTGCACCACTCGGTGCTGTACTCCTGTTCCCATTCATGATCGCAGTGTGATTTTGCAATACCATGATGCTTCCAAAAAGACAGAATCTGCTTTGGCAGACCATTTGTAGCTATGGAAATAGAAATGTCTCTGACAATTCACTAAGAATTTTTTAAACAATCATTGAGTGGGCATTCAGCTCTTCAAAGAAGTTCTAGCAAGTCACTGCAGTTAACATTAAAACAACTCTCAGGAAAAAAAAAAAAAAAAAGTCCTTAAAACCTCTGCTGGGGCCAAGCATCGGTGATCTGGCCAACACAAAAGCTGGCATACTCATTAGCCCAAGAGCCCATTCAATCCACCGCTCTGTTCCCTGTGGTTCCCAGCAGGGAGTGCGTAGGAAGACAGCCAAGAACAAGAGCAGCACACACCGATCCTTCCTCCAGTACCTGGCCGCACTAGGTTCTAGGCCACACTAGGTTCTAGGCCACACTTAGTTCCTAGCTTAGGAACTAAGTCAGAAAAATTAAATACCACAGTTCTACTGATTTTGTATTCAACAGTTTAAGTAGAAGTGAAGGTTTAAATTATTTACAACAGTTTAAAAGAAAAAATGAGAGAGAAGTCCTACAGTTTTAGCTGCATTGGCATCCACATTTTTTACTGCCTCTGCTCAAGCAGCGGAGGATCTGCACAGCCTGCACAGACTGTCACCTCTCCAGTATGCCAAATCCACTTCAAGCATTTGCTTTTTAATCAACAAATGATCTTTTTAAGAGCTCCTATGCTGCATCTGAACAATGAAAGCCTACAGCTCTTTCAGATTTAGGGTTGTAACCGTGCATTTCAGCACTTTCCACATTTCCTATTACAATTCACAGAAATTATTATACTGACCATCGATTTGCCTTTTCCAATTTACAATCCACAGTAGTGTAATAAAGAATTAAGCAATGTTATCAGGTAACTCCCCTCGAAAAGAAGTGTACTGGCTCCTTGTTTCAATTTAGCATTGCTCTTGTGAAATTAGTAATACCATTAGTCATTCTCAGGGAAAAAAAAAAGGAAAAATATTGGTGATTTTAGTTATTGAAATTAAATAAAAAGTGAATCTGTTAGGAAAAAAAAAGAATATACCCACTCAATAGTGGGTATATTAAGTTGTGAAAGTTGTTGTGAAAGTGAAATAGTTGTGAAAGTAAAATAAATTTAAGTCTAAAACTATGTCAAAAAAAGATGAGTTAATAGCTCGTCCTACTAAAGGCTACCTGCATGCCTGGAAGATATTATCTAATGTGTTACTGATCCAGTGATTACAAACCAGGTCCGCTTCAGTGCTTTATGACTCTTATACTTGGATTTTTTTTCTCCTAACATTCAACATACATCTCCCCAAGTTCAAATTAAAGCCATTATTTCTTATCCTACCTTTAATTATACACTGGCCCAATAACAAACTTTATCAGTAAATCGCTACACAGTCAGAGACAAGGAAAACTGGTCAAGGGATATCAAACAAATGCAGTTTCTCCACAAATCACATTTTCTAAGCTTCCTTTCAGTCTTGCTGCCTTAAGGAAGAATTATTTTTCTGTCTCTGTCCCATCACACTGGGCTGACAGTTCAATCTGATGCCTGATCAACACCAAGCAGAACAACATAACTGCCTTCTGCGCACTTTCTGGTATTCTTCGATGTATTTAGTTATTTATAACATCATACTTTAGGTTCCTATTTATTGTAATTCTGTATTTTTTTTCTGCAGCACTACTGCCTAGATAATGAATCTCCATTTTGTATTTGTGCATTTGATGTCCTGGTTTTACAGATACTACTATAATTTGTATTAAATTTCTTCTTGCTGATTTCTCCAACCTATTCAGTATTTTTAGTTTTGATCCTGACATTCAATGTGCTTGTAATTTCTTTCAACATGCTGTCATTAAAAAGCTTTTATAAGCACCATTTTTATTCCATGATTCCGGTTGTTATGACTAATACTGATTAGCTCTTCGGGCAAAACCCCACCTATCTTCCTGCCTTTATTCCTCCTACTTTGATAACGATTAACCAACACTTTTTCCCTAGATGATACATACTTATGTGGGAAAGCGTAAAAAAGACTCATTTACTACAAAATAACAGACCTACTAATTACTTCCTCTTCATCCATTAAACCAGCTGTCCTACCAAAGAATAAAATCAGATTATTTGACATACACTCTTGACAAATCTGTATTGGGTGTTCATGGGTGATGCTGGGTCTTTATTTGTAAACACTTCCTGGATTAATACTGTTTTGTCATTTTATTCTTCTAATGGCTTTCTGGATGTTGAATTAAGCCTGATGGACTCAGAATTTCCTCAGACCTCCTGCTCTCCTCCTATCTGTAAATGCTGGTGGGGGACCAAGGACAGGTAATTTTTTTGCATTAGAACTTACACATTCATTGGTCATTCAGGAACCCTCTCTAATTCCATGAAATTCACTGCTAATATTTCAAGGAACGTATTTCTCTGAATATTTCTAAACAGAACTGAAAAATCATCTAGAAACTATAATAGACTGCATGCAAAGATACAGATGTAAAGATGCATGATATTTGAAAATACAGAGAATAAAAAATGCACAGAATTCAAGAGTAATTTATTTCTGCACTGTCAGCTTTGGCTACAGGGTGCCAGTGCATATACAACACAAGCTTTCACTAGCTTCTATTTCTTTAAGCATAAACGTGCAATTTTATCCCTAGCTTAGACTGTGAAAATGCTGCACAGGTTACGACAGAAAAAACTTTATACTGAAGGAGATTGTTTCATGTCTTTTCCTAGGACTACATCCATCAGCACTTGCTCACAAAGATCTGATATGCTCTTAATGAGATTTCATGGTCAGACTTCTCTTACTATAGTCATTAGCAAATATTAAAGATGAAAGCTAGTTTGAGAGCAAGGCAATATCAAAATTTTTAACTTTGCTTCCCCCTGTGCTTTCATGTTTTTCAGAGTATTTCCAATGAGTGTACAATTAAGACTGAACAAGAGACCCAAGCATGTATCTGTCTAAACATAGGCCACCAAAACGGCAACTAGAGGTGGAGCAGCCTTGGTCCTCTATCTTATATTCAGTTTGGTTTAGAAATAGCAGGTATCACAGGGGGGAAATCTACACAAGACCTTCCCCCGAACTAAAAAAAAAACAAACAAACAAACAAAACAACCCACCATTTGCAATTTCTGTATTGTTTTGTACTAGGTGTCTTTCCTGTTTCCCGGGCAACTTCAGAGCAAGAGAAAAGATCAGATGTAACAGTATTTGTATGTATTGATTTAAATAAAACTCAGGATCAATTCTTTATAATAAAATGGGATTAGAAGAACCTGAAATTGCCATTTGCGGTTATTAAAATGTAACATTAACTTTGTGTTAGGTAATTGGAAAAGATTCATTTGGAAACAGGAAAAAAAAAAAGGGGG